GTCCAATCAGAGACTCCTCCCTTATAGCGCGAGGGTAGCGCCTCTTGTGGCTTCAGAGCTAATTAAGGGCTGAGTCGTCTCTTGGTCTTCATGACAAGAAGACCTCTCGTTTCTGCTACCGCATGCGACAGCTTGTGGGCAGCGGAAAGGGGGGGCTTCGCTGACGCATCTGGTGACAGCATTACAACTTGTTGACAGCGGGAAGGGGAAGGAAAGTCCGCTTGCAGTAATGCTTAAAGTGGTTACGGAGCGGAACAAAAATGCAGATGTCTAACTATGGGTTTTTTCCCGTGTTTATTGTATTGTTTTTCCAGATGTTTTATGACACTAATGCTTGATAATAGCAAGAAAGTTTTGAAATCTAAATACAAATTTTACGATGTTACTTGCCAGATATTTTTTACATTGAAAAAAGATCTCTGTTCGAAAGTTGTAGTGATGTAATTCTTGGCTCGAACAGCATTACAGCAGTTTTAAGCGGAATGCAAGGTGGGAGAGGTGTGAGCGTGGGAACATTTGTTTTGTAAACATTGGCCAACGGACTCAAAGAATGCTTCTAGCCGAAAAACTCTAATACGACTATAATTCCGAGAAGTAATAACAAATGAACCCTACAAGACTATGCCCTATTGACGTCACGACAAATAGCGACATAGTAACAGCCACCGATGCGCTATAGGCGCAGCCAGTTTGTACGAGAATATGTATGGAGTTGCACGTGTCGCGATTGCCTCTTGCTAGTACCAATCATGGCACTCTTCACATCGGGCTCGCTATCCAACCATGCCATCGCCATTGGGAAGCCATGGCAAGTATCAAGCAACCTAAGGAACTAATAGCGATGCCACAACTATACTGGCACCCACGCCTCCGTAAGCAACGCCGACGCTCGTTCCTTACTACTTCTTCTAGTAACAAGCACCCATCACAACAGGACCGCCACTCTACACTCGCAGTTCTCAACAACAAATGTAAGCAACGCCGACGCTCATTCTTACTATCAGCACGCGGTTCCTGCCAACACGTATAAGCAACGCCGACGCTCGTTCTTACTATCATCACGCGGTTCCTGCCAACATATGTAAGCAACGCCGACGCTCGTTCTTGCATATTACCTCACACCGCGGTTCACTTCGACATCAAGCACTCGAACGTGCACCAATACCACCCCTACCCAACGTGCACTATTGCAAGCAGTGACGTTAAACGAACATCCTCCCACCACTTCGCACACTACAGTTCACCCCTCGCCGGCTGCTAAGATGGGACTAACTTGCTGCCCCTACCACCACGAGTCTCCCACTACAACTACTCAACCCAAAGGAAGAAGGGGAATCACCCTCCAGGCTATCAGGAGCACACATGCAGACTTATCGCCAAGACCATTACTGAAGAAACACTGATCTATTCATTCTATCATACATTCATTCCAATATTCATAGATTATTAACTATTCATTATTTATTATATTAAATAAAAAGAAAGACTATAAACATTAAAGGCAGTATTGAATAATTCCATTGCCCCTTCCACTTACCAGCAAGCCTCCACCCACCATCATAAGGAAGTTTTTAGTCTGATCCCAGACACAATGCTTCAATAGCTTAGTTTGCCGTCCGCCCTATGAAGGGAAGGAGTGAGATGTAGGGCCTGTACAAGAGTAGTAAGAGTTGGTTAATTATATATTTATTATAAAATTTATTACACAATTTACATATGGATGTTGTAGAATCTTCTTGAGTCTTATATAAAGATACGATTTCTTGATCGACTTCTTATATAGGAGGTGTCACTATACAGGATGCCTTGAAATCGTTGAATTGATGAAAAGTGCACAGATAAATAATTACTGCACACTTCTTGTTGGAGAGTGTGAGATAATCTTGATGGTTGTTTTATGCCGGTTCTACCGCCGGCTGACAATTGAAGAGATAAAATGTATTAACGTACTCACAAGGATGCCACTATTCTTGTTCTGATCTGCTGGTGAGAGGGACACAAATTATGGGCGGCGTCACTCTTATACTCACCAGGATGCACTATTCTTGATTTGATCAGGGTGCAATATTCTTGCTTTCAATTACTAACACTTATTTCTGCGTTAAGTGACTTTTAGACTTGGCACTTTTCCCTAGACTGCTCACTCTAGCCCTTTGTGACTTGTCTTTGCGGACAAAAGTAATTGGCTGCCCACGTGGAAAGCGGGTTCCAATTGCCCCCCGCGGACAGCCACTTTTCGCTGCCTTATTCCCGTCTTTAAAGCCTCTTGCCATGAGTCCCCACTCAAGCAGCTTCTGGTCTTAGTTTTCCAATCAGCGCACGCCGCTTTTCTGCTGCATCATGGAGGTGCACGCCCTTTTCTCACTTCATAAGAAATTAGGCTTAAACAATGAGAATATCGAAGGAGTATCTTTGGCTGCAATACGTGAAGTGGAAGATTTGCCCCTCTCCGGGACTCATCGTGGTGGGGGTGATTTTTGGTCAAGCGTCTTCGCTTGACCTATGCAAGTAAGCAACATTTGTCGTACTTGACAACAATGTATGCGTATGCCCTCGTGGCATTGAAGGCAGACGTGCGACGCAGATTGTCAAGCGTCGTGCGTGCCGAGTATCGGGTTGCAACGGATTTTAAGAAATATTTTTCATTCAATTGTTTTGAAATATTTTAATCCTCAAAATATACTCGTATAAACAGTCTAGTTGGGTTTTGATGTGAACTCGCAAGGGTCGATTTATTGCATTAAAAACAATTGCTACGTCTGCAGGTCAAAGGCTGTTTACGAGTTCACAGATGTACAAACCTTTTAGAGCCTCGTGCAACCTTGGAGAGACTTTCTTAGTTTTTTGAATCCGTTCGATAATTCTTTTCTATCAGCTATTGAAAGATTTTCTAGTAAATATAATTCGAGAGATTTTCTTTTCACTCTCGAACAGTCTCGCATTCTCGAACAGTATCAATTTGTAATATTATTTTTTCAACCATTCAATATTTCATAACCTGTTTATAATTTATAATCGCACTCTATATTTGATGGAATTTAATCAATTTAAAATTACTAGCAATATTGAATGTATCTTGAATTATAAGCAAATGGTAAATTCTTAACAATGATTTTATTAAATTTTTATATCATTTAAATATAATATAAAATGTTTGTATAATTTATTTATCGATTTAATTCACATCTACTGATCAGAATTAATAACATTCAATTTTATGTTTATTTTTCTCAATTTCTTTTATAATCTCTACAATTTTAGAAGCTAGTACAAAATTTTATTTCTTTATCTGTTAAAAATAATAATAATAAAAAATTCTAATTCTATCAATGTTCAACACTTCAGTAAAAAATTGTACAGATATTATTTACTCTAAAGAATTTTATTCTTTGGTTCAAATTCAATAGTATAATACTACATTCAAAGTTTCAAATATTATTAGCCAAACATAATTTTTCCTTTTAAATAAAGTATTGCTATAAATCAAAATTGAAGATGATGATTAATTGTGATCATTAATTGTGATCATTTTTATTAATTAACAAAAAAATTTATGAAACAAAATCAAATTTCATTCAATACATTAAATTGTTAATTTTTACTAAAAAATTTGTAATATAATGTAAATATTATGAAACACGTACAATTTATATAAAACTTTAATATATATTAAGTATTAATTAAGACATTTTTTTAAGTTCACAAGAAATTATTTGTTTATTCTAATAAATAAAATACAATAAAATACAAATTTTTATTGTCTTGAATTTAGATTTAACTCTGAAGAATTTATTGCTTTATATTAGTAACTCTTTAATTTTACTCTTAAGTTTAATAAATAATTATAAAACATTTTATTTTATTTTTAATTTAGTTAAAAAATACAATAAAATATGTTGCTTTCAATATTATAGTTGTTATATAAGTATACCTTGAATTTTTCAAATGGTTTTTGTTATAAATAAATTGTATATGTACAATATATATATACAGCTAATCAATGACAAATTTCAAAATTTATAATTCATAACATGAATACTTGAATTTGAAAAGTATAAAGATACGAAGTACAAAAATGTAAGTTATAAAAATTTCATATCAAGACTGCTTTATGACAAAATCGATCACTTTTTATCTTTAAAATGCCATATTTCAGTTACAGTTCAAAAGCTTACATTTCTTAAAAAATTTTATATATATAAGATTATTTCAATGTGATATAAATTGAAATACTAAGTAATTTTTTTATTTATTCATAATAAAAAACATTTTTTAAAATATAAAAGATTTATAAGTTCAACAAAGATCCTTAATATAAATGATTGTTAATAATTATTATTTCAGTACATATTTACAGTGAATGTTATTAGACCTATTTATTTATTCTATCAATTTGTTATTAATAAATCTTTAAGTTATAAATTATTTTCTTTTTCTATTCTATGTACTATTTTAGTACTATTAGACATTTCAGTTTTAATAAGATATATTAAAATATATGATCAATGACATAATAAATGATAAGTATTTTAAATTGTGAAAATATTCTAAATTTATTAAAATCAAGATCTTATACAAATTCTACTCCACATTTTAATTATTAATATATATTTTTTATAATAAAACTAATTTTTGTAATAAAATTTTTTGAATTTTTGTATACATAAATTTATAAATTTATATTTTATAAATTTTAAATTAAACAGTTCATAGTATATTACATTTAAAAATACTGAAAATAAATCTTTTTGAAAAATTAAAACTTTGCTGATTAGAAATTTTTCAAACACTGGGAACTTAATGTTTGGCGCGAATATTGATAAGCATAGACTGCTTTGAGTAGTTAAAACTGTTTAAACTTTTCAAGGATCCGTATATAGATTCTGGATATTATTTCTTCATTAAAATATAAATAGAAATATTAAGTAATGTTCTTCGTTTATTAAAAATATAATAAGTTATTAAGTTATACAAAATACTTTTATAAAAATGAATTTTAAAGATATGTTATTTAATAAAATGACTTTAATGCAAAGAAAAATATTGTCACTAAAGTTTAAAACGGCAGATACCGATGAACTGAGAATTATTGCAGCTTTGAATACTATGAAAATATTTCAAACTATACCTGAAATCAAATGTGAATCAAAGAATTCAAAAATATCAATTGCTTTAAGGATTGAAGGAAATCGTATTTTTATTTCAACTCAGAGTGTTAAAGAACTTTTGAAAGTATGGGAATTATATTCAAAAAGTATAGCAAAAGCTCCTAATGGTTCTGAGGAACTTTGTTTAGCATATGCGAATAGATCAGCTCTTCTAATAAAGTTATGTAAATATATTGAATGTATAGAAGATATTAATAGAGCTTTGGAATTGAATTATCAAAGTCATTTAAAAATAAAGCTCTTATTTAGAAAAATTAAATGCTTACATTTAAGCAATGATATTGTTAAGTTAAAAGATACAATTGAAGAAGCTAAATTTTGTCTAAGAAATATAAATTTAAGTTGTAATAAAAAAAAATATGAAGAACAATTAATGAAAGTTGAATATTTTAATACAAAATCATTTTCAAAAATTAATGTAATTACACGGGTTCCATCATATGTATCACATAAAAATATACCAAGTGCTTCCAAAATATTAACAATAAAATTTAGTGAAAAATTTGGTCGACACCTAGTAACAACATGTAAGGTTGATGCAGGAGAAATTTTAATAATGGAAAGACCTTATGCTAATATTCTTATGCCAGAAGCAATCTATACTCATTGTTCACATTGTTTACAAGTTTATTGGGCATTGATACCTTGTGAATTTTGTATTTATGCTATGTATTGTTCTTATAAATGTAAAAATGAAGCTTGGAAACAATATCATGATATTGAATGTTTAGTGACAGGTTATTTATTAAATATAGATTTTAATAAATGTAAATTATTCAGTATGAGATTAACTATTTTGGCTTTAAGACAAGCCGGAAGTATAGAAAAATTGAAACATATTGTCCAAAATGCCAACAATTATACAGGTTAATAATATTAACATTATTTATAATAATGTAAGATATTTATAAATAAATAATATATTCCAGATCCTTCTAGAAAAGGTTTTGATGAAGATGGAATGTATTGTAGTGATAAATATTGTAGTTTTTATTCTCTTACAACTAATACAGAAAAACGTTCAGTATCTGATCTTTTTGATAGAGCTTTAGATGCTGCAAATATACTCTATTATTTATGTGTATATACAACATTATTTGGAAAAAAATTTGATCAGGATATAAACGCAATAGTTATGAATAAAAATATTATATTTATTGGTGGATTAATTTTACGACATTTACAAATAATTTCTAGCAATATTCATAGTGTATTTACATGCTTAATGTATTGTAATAATGTATAAATTTTTTCTATTATTTATTTCTTTATAATTGAAAATGTATTTTAGTATGAAGAGGAACATAAAATTAAAACTGTTGTGATAGGAGCAACTGCCTTACCAGTTTGTAGTCTTATAAATCACAGTTGTAATCCAAATATTTCTAGAATTTCAACAAAAGATCATACAATTGTTTTTTCTCTTATCCCAATAGAAAAAGATTCACAAGTAAAACTTCGTTATATAATTTATAAAAGTTTTTTACTCTCAAATATTTAATTTTTATTTTCAGATTTATGATTGCTATGGTAGCCACTATGCTATTATGAATAAATGTGAAAGAGAAGAAAAATTGAAGCAATTTTATTTTAAATGTGAATGTATAGCATGCAAAGAGGATTGGCCTATTTATTCAAATTTATTATCTTTTGATGTAAATAATTACATACTATTTTATTGTTAAATTAAATTATTCATAAAAAATATTTTTGAATTAATTTAATTTTAGATGATAGTGACTAATAGAAATGAAAAGAAAATTATAAAAAATACACTGAAATCATTTTATAAATATGTACAATATGCATTAGAAGATAAAATTGAAAATGAGACACATATATTAAAAGATTTAAGAATAATGATTAGTACTATGATCAAATATATACAACAACCTTGTTGTGAAATTGATAATGTTATAGAAACATTGAAAAGAGTAGTTACTTTAATGTATGGAAGTAAATTTGAAATTCCAAAATTATTAAAATGAAATTGCAAATATTTCCTTTCATTTATATTGTTGAAAATATTTCATTAAATTATTTTAAGTTTAGGAAAAATTAATTTATATTAGTTATTTATTAATTTAATTTGGGTAAATGTACAATCTTTTTACTTTATTAAGATGTATATTTTATTAAATATTTTTAAAAAATTTTATATAAACTATATTATATAATTTTTTATAGCTATATTACATAACTATTTATAAAAGCAAATAGAAGAAATGTTCAACAACTGATTGTTTTATTAATATTAAAAATATATTTTAGAAAATGTTGCGTTATTAATTATTTACATTATAACATTATAAGTCCTTTAATGAAAAGTATAATAATTCAAGTGAATGTTTAATAAGATTTTTTAATAATTTACAAAAGAATTTTAAGTATTCTTAACTATAGTTTAGTATTTTATTTTCACTGCCTTGTTAGGATAATAGTGGTTTCTTTTTATAATTTCATTTAATTAATTTTAACGCTAAAATTAGCATTAATAGTTTATTAAAATATATGTGTAATTGCGGGATGATTTTATTATTTCATATACTTTTTTGTGACTAAAGTAAATTATTATCTTTATATTATTACTCTCATTACTATTCTTTTAGTGAATACACTTCATACTTGTCAGGGAATTTATATCATATTTTTTACTTCTTTAAAATATATTTTCTAATTTTTTTTATTGAAATCTCTACTATTACTTGTATTTATGATGAACGAATTTGAAAACCTCCCTGTATTTATTATATATATTAACTCCTCTTCTATTTCAATAAATCGTGATTAACGATATTCTTCAACGACAGAATTTTAAAGGTAATATCGAAATATTAGTGTAATTTTATTTTTCAGTTTTAATAGATTAGTATTTTTAAATTTATTAATTTTTTTAATTTAGCGAATCAATTAAAATTTTAGAAATCAGGATAAGAAATGAAGGTTATCTAATATCCAAAGTTTTATTATTTATTCAATTGGTAATAATTTTAATAAAAAGAAAATAAATAATATATATACAAAAATAATTCTGAATAACATTGAATGAAAAAAATTTGTTGGAATGTATGAATTACTTTATGATTTGTAATTTAAAACAGTAAATTTTGAATATTAACAAGTGAATAAATTTTTATTTATATTACAAAAATACAAAAGCATAGTAACAAAATAATAATCGATAAATTATCAACCAAAAAAAGAAAATTATGTTCCATTGAATTACACTATTAGCCTCGTTTGCATGATAGCCTGTACTAGGATATTTAAGAAGACGCGCTTGACGCTCTCGCTCTCTTACTAGTTTAATCAAGCACTCATCAAGATCGGATCACCATTCTACAGATCGACTCCAGCTCAACGTAAGCCAAGCTCATTCGGCGATCCAACGCTGCAGAGATCGAATCCAGCTCAACGGAAGCCAATCTCACTCGGCCTACCATCGCTGCTACAGAGATCGATTCCAATACGTACGTAACGTTATTACACACATCCCTACGTACCATCAATGCAACTGAGATCGACTCCAACACACGTAAGCTACGCTATTACACACATTCTTTCGAATCACAAATACACGGCTCCCGTCAACTAAGTAAGCAGCAATCTTAATACACGGTACACAGTGCGAGGAATCCTTCCACCCGTCAAGCAGTGATATCACACGGACATCCTCCCTCCATCAGACCGCTACAGCGCTCATCCCTCGCCAGCGGCATCATCGCTGCCCCCTACCAGTGACGTCACACGGGCGTCCCCCCACTATCAGACCGCTACAGCGCTTATCATACGCCAGCGGCAAAGGCGGCACCATCGCTGCCCTTTATCAGCACGAGTCTCCCACTATCACTACGAGTAGGAGAATCAAGCACCAAGCTACCAAGAATACACTTATAGAATTCTTGTCGCTAATATTAATTGAAGAAACTTTCATCTATTCATTGTATCATACATTCATTTCGACATACATAGATCACTGATTATTTATTATATTATTATATTCAATAAAAGGAAAGACACTACACTGAAAAGGCAGTGTTGAATTATTGCATTGTCCCTTCCACTTGCCAGCAAGCCTCCATCCACCATCACAGGGAGGCTTTTAGTCTGATCCCAGACAGTAGTTGATTAGTATTTAGTCATTATACACATGTACACATACACTGAATGAATGTTTAACTTAATTTTACATTTCGATTTATTTAACTGAATATTTCATTATAGAAAAAATTATCTTTATAAACATAAAGTTATAACAAATCATATAAGAGTTATAATTATATTTTCTAGGTTTTTTGTAAAAAAAATATTCACAGATACTTATATAAATTGCGAGTAATATGCAATTTACATTTCAATTTTATGCAAGTTTTTGTTTTGTATATATTTATTTTTGGTTTAATTTATTTTCTTTTTATATTTTAGAAAATAATATTAAATGATATAAATCAAGAAAGTTGTAAATTCTTTATGAATCAAGTACACATTCCGTAAATTCATTATATATATTCATATATATATATATATATATTGTATAAAAATTAATTCCACTAAATCGGCTCAGGAACCAAACGTGTAGAATTAACTAAGAAACCACTAGTTGTTGTGTGGGAGAATGCGTGGGCAAGTGGAAAGGTTAATGCACTGATTCAATAATCAACACATATAATTCTTACTGCTGTTTATTCCATTTAATTTCAATTTATTTCCAAATTGGTGATGATTTATTGTAAAAAGAGACAGGTTATATTGTATTGAATATTACTACTTGAGAGGTTATGATCGTTTGTTGTGTTCGGAACGAACACCACAATTCTTGTTGTTCGTGATTGATGCAGTCCCATGAATTTCAAACAAAAGAAAGGTCATATACGCAGTCCGGTGTACCACATGTGCGCCTAGACTAACCGCATGTGCAGCAAAGCTGACCATCACGTGCGCCTAGGCTGATCCGCACGTGCAGACCGAGGCGGGTACTCGAACAAAATGTTTACAAACAAAACTCGGCAAGTCCGAACAAGTTTACGATTTGAAATATAATTTACTGCCAACGCTCACAAAAAAGGGACGCCTGCGTAACTTCTAGAAGCTTCGTTTTCTCACGCCAAAGGAAAATTTCTGGAAGGGACGCGCATCGACACTGTTGCCGGCGTTGAAGACGCCGCATGCACATTGAAACGCAACGCGCCATGAGGCGACGCTCATTCATAAAATCACTTCGCTCTCACTCAAGCGTAACTGCCGGTCAGTGCATAGTATACTGTAAAGACGCCGCGTGGCCATATTTTCGGCAGCATAGTAAAGAGTACCCGCGTGCATAGAAAAGATAATCGGCA